TACTATAATTTAAAACAGCAACTAGAAAACACTATACACATGGGCAACAAAAAACAAACAAAAGGAATTCAACTGTCCATACAATTCTATTTAAACTAGATTGATTACATTAAAAGAAACACAAATACAATCGAATTTTTTCAATCGTCAGTTGATCATCATTGATTCCCTTCCCCAACTCCACTTGAACATTTATTCATCAATATCTACGTCCCCAAACAACTTGATCCGATCCTATTTCAAACATCAACTCCTCCCCAACCTCCATTGTTTCAAGGTAAGTTTTATTTATTTTTTCTTTTTACTTTAGAATTTCTTTTATGATATTTTAGATCTTAGTCAGTTATTCTTATTCTAATTTTATAATTGAGAAGTTTATGGCAATTACTAACATTTCAGTTATTCTCATTCTAAATTTATAATATCTAGAACTTTATAAATATATTTTTGGCATTAATCTGAAAGTAGAAATAAATCAAACTAGGTTAACTGTTTAGTTAAATCTGATGTTTATAGTTAACTTAAAAAAATCAGATGATGAAATGTTTCATGTTATCAGACAGCAAAATAAAAAATGCTTCCCAAAAAAGAGAAATAAATCAAACTAGGTTAACTGTTTAGTTAAATCTGATGTTTATAGTTAACTTAAAAAAATCAGATGATGAAATGTTTCATGTTATCAGACAGCAAAATAAAAAATGCTTCCCAAAAAATTGATTTCTTTTTCGAGCTAATATATTTGAATATTAGCCTCTCCTAAATGAAAATTCTTCTAGATATTAGAGTGAAATGTTATTTGCACTTCCATTTGTATTAATCACACTTTCACTACCGTTTCTATCAGATGGTTTTTATTTATTAAACTATATGATAAAGAAAATGGTAGCAGTGCAATTAACAAAAAAATGGAGTGCAAATGAGTGTGGATACCATTGTGTGGCCAAAAATTATTTGGTTGCATCACAAGTACAATTTTCAATGCAATTTTTTATTTTCTCAATCACCTTTTTATCCCATATATATCATATAATAAAAAGCGCTACCGTAATTATTTCAAATAATCTCCTATACGAACACATCCATTTTTTCATATTAGATTATATATCATATTAGCTAGATTACATTAAGGGTGTGTCCACTTTTTGGTGTGTATATTCTGCCGAAAACCAGCTGAATGAAGCATACATAATCTCCCAAAAGCTTTTTTGATTTTGTACTAAATATTTTCTCAACATCTGTTATCAAAAAGGAATGTTATAAATATAGTATGTCTCAACATCTGTCCCATGCCATTACATGATGTTTGAATGTTTTTTGTATTTTGGTTTGGAAGAATTTGTTTCCGTCGTTTTGTCATGTTGGGAGACTTGACCAAGTCCTCGGCTTGGTATTAATATTAATAGGTCAGTCGTGTGGTGGACACAATAGCCAGATTTTGGTATTATGTGGGTCAAGATGACTAGAAAAATGTACATTTTGAGGTTGAGAAATCCTTTTGTCGAAGATATATTGTAGTATAAATTTTGAGCATTTTAAACAGTGAAAATCATAAAGAGTTCTAAAAAAAAAGTTCAAAAGCAAATAAAAATTCTCAGACAATTGTTCCTACAGTAAATCAATTTGATTTATCATACACCCTTTTATTCAAATAGGCCTTTCCTAAGGTAATTTAAACGTTTTTTTTTTCTTTTTTGCACTTGTGCATGGATTTCACAAACCTCAAAAACGTCTCCTAAAGGGGAGAAAAAAAATAAGGAAATTTTAAAAAATTCTTAGCCAATAATATTAAATGTCATATTGACGACAAATAAAAGAATTTGCCTAGAGCATAAAGGTTAACGTGCTCTTTAGTTCAGTTTACAAGTCAAGTCAACCTTGGTAACGGTCGTCTCCAAGTACAGTGGCAAAAGAAAAGTATGCCAACCCTAAAAGGCAGAACAACCCAAGTCTTCCCTCAATTCCACGTCAATAGCACCTTTTCTTTTCTCTTGTGACTAGTACTAGTGCAAGTACTGTACTAGTATATAAGAATGACTCCTCCTCTCATAGTTACGCACGCAGTTACAAAAAAGTGTCACACTTACACACTATCCATGGCACTTGCACAATTGCCTTCTACCAGCAATCGTCTATCTTTCTTTAAATCTACTTTGTTTTGGTTAATTTGTTCTAGTGTTGCAATTTCTCATGGAGTGGAAAAGCCAGCAAAACCTCATTATCATATGGTGAATGTGAGTTCACTGTTGCCAAAGCCATATTGCACAGGACATACCAAAGGTGCATATATCTAGCATGTTCTATCCTTTAATAATTTCTGCTTTAGTTTCTTGATAATTATGTACTGTACTATTTGAGTTTGACAAATATTAGGTATATTTGATCTATTGCGATTATTAATATGTATATAGTCATGCATAGGAAAATTTTATGTTTTTTCGAAGCAACTACTTGACAAATATAGTAGTTGCTTTAGGATTAATGAAAGAATTCTATATGAATACACAAGAGTTTTACTTGGTTCCATTTAACATGCGAGGTAGGCCTCATCTAACATACATGCGAGGTAGGCCTCACCTAACATGTGAATTAGCAAGTAGGGCCTTTATGTATTCGCGTTAAACTTTTTCATTGATTATGGATCAATGACTGGACAATGCCAAATTGTTGATTCGGACCAATATAAAATTTCTCCTCATGAATGACATGTACTGATGTAAGAAATTTTATTTTACTATTACATATATCACATGATCTATATGTTGGTTTGGTTGTTATCGAACCTATCTAAGGATTCGCCCTGTAGTTTTTATTTTCCTACCGTTTCAGCCTAGATTGGTTTGGCCAATATAAAGTGTACAACAAATGAAAAATGATTCTTGATTTCTTTCCTGCTTTTTTACTTAGCTTAATCAGGATACTAGATTGTGCTGAAAAGTAGAATCTAACAAGATTTTGGTTATCCGCAGGCTCTTCTGTAGGATCACGAAAGATGGTAGTAACATCTAAACGTGGACCATGCTCACAAATCCCTCGTACAAAGGAAATTTCTGCTTATGAAGAATCTTTGCTCGAGGATGAAAACAGAGTCCGGTCACTGAATAACAAGAGAGCCTCAAATGTCTATTCAAAAGCTGCTGGTTCAGGATCAAGAGTCCAAACATCTGATCCAATCCTACTTGGTGGAGAGTACCTTACTACCATTGGTTTAGGCACTCCCAAAGTAGACTACCAAGTAATAATTGACACAGGTAGTGACTACACTTGGGTGCGTTGCAAACCATGCTCAAAAAGCTGCAAGTCTGAAAACCTTCTATTTGATCCTTCGAAGTCTTCCACTTATTTAAACGGTTCCTGCAAACCTAACACTGTAAATGGTGCATTCGATATGAACTATTTAGACAAAACTTATTCTAGAGGATATTGGGGATGTGACAAACTGTCCCTGGAACCATCAGATGTGTTTGAAAGGTTTCAATTTGGTTGTGGTTTAACTACTGATGGGGGTGCTGGCAATTTTGCTAATGGAGCAGGGGTACTTGGACTAGGCAGAGGTGATCTTTCACTTGTTTCCCAGACTGCTTCAAAATTCGCCAAAACTTTCAGCTATTGTCTTCCTAAAACTTCCAGTTCCTTGGGGCATATAGACTTTGGCGATCGTGCAAGATCAGCAACTTCATCTTCTGGATTAAAATTCACGAATCTGATCGAACCTCCACAAAACATTCCACGACGTTATAATCGCAGCTCCCTATACTTTCTGGAATTGCTTGGCATCAGTGTGGCGGGAAGCAGATTGGATGTTTCACCTACAATATTTACATCTGTAGGAACTGTGATCGACTCCGGAACAGTTATCACTTACCTACCGCCGTCAGCATATACTGCTTTAAGTAAGAACTTTAAGCAATCAATGGCTGATTATCCACCAGCACCATCTCAGGAGAAGTTAGACACATGCTACGATGTGACGGGGTATGGAAGCATTCAGTTACCTGAAATTACACTCCATTTTGGAGGTGCGACTGATGTAAGCTTGAATCCATCAGGAATTGTGTGGATAGCAAAGAAGAATCCATACATATGGTGCCTAGGATTTGCAGCAAATAAAAAATCTGATGATCTTACTATTATTGGTAATAATCAGCAGCGAGAACTCGATATTCTCTATGACATAGATGCTGGTAAAATAGGCTTTGGAACAAAACCTTGCGGACATTGAGAAACAAAATCTTGCTCTCCATAGAATTCTGTACTTTTTCTTTTCTTGAATATTCGTGAACCATCAGCAAGCTGATGGCATATGTAATTCAACATATATTTTACTTTTCAAATTTCAAATTGGAAGTCTTTAGTTTCCCATATTACGCAATGATTTCTTAATTTAGGCGTTGCATAGGAATTCACTCATATAACTAAAACAATTGGCTGCTGAGAACTTGTGACCATTTTAAGTTCCTCTCCTACTTTTCAAATACTAAAAAACATAGCTAGTATTCAGGAAACTTTGATAAGTTGACACTAACAACGAACCCAAAATGATTGGTAGCGGAACTGATAACGCTAGAAACTTTGACAGACATAGGTTGATTAACATGTTAATGACTCATTAATCCCAAAAAATTGAGACTCAAATCTCTTTATCACATCGTGAGATTGATGGCATATCAATGTCTGGCCAACTATCCTGAAGTGGAAGCCACGTTTCTCATAGGAAATGTAGAGTACCTCACCTGACATCCACCTTTTGTGCCCAGAGGTAGAAGGGAACAGTATAACAAATCCTGATGACATCTTCAAAGCCAATTTTTAGCTATTTGATATGTAGTAACCAGCTAGCGGCTGACATACCTTCCTTTCAATCCATCAAAGTCTCTACCTATTCAAACGGTTCATTTATTCTTTACTCTGGAAATTAGCTATTCAATATGAAACACAATGAGAAATTTGATTCCAAAGGACATGGGGACCTGTCAAGCTCTACTACTGGTTACTACCTCAGATGTCTTCAGCAAATCCATTTGATTATGGCATAGTTAATTATAGTGGCCAGCGTATTTTTTCAAACACAGGAATGGGACATTTGCAGTTGGCAGGGATGATTCTCTGGTTGCTCTCAAATTTACAAAGGGGATAGCCAGGCAGAGTTGACCGAGGTGATCTTTCAGTTGTTTCTCAAACTATTACAAATTTTGGCTAAATCCTTAAATTGACAAGTTGTTGCTCAGGATATGTGGTGGACTGCAAGATCCACAACTTCCTCTTCTGCGTTGAAGTTCAAATATCTGACATGGCAGCTTCTGTTGGGATTCAAGCGCATAATACATGACTATTGATACATCAAGAATATAACAATTTAATGACAAACAAATCACAACCATGAAAGATAAATGATACACAAAATTTAACGTGGTTTGATTTCATCATTGAGCCTACGTCCACAGAGAGAAATCCGTTCTTTTTTATGAAAAAAAAAAATCCTATACAAGAATATAATTTGAACTCAAATTCAACCTTATATATCATCTCTCATCTTCCAAAAAGCCTCTCTCTACCCATGTATAAGGCTACATGTCGCTTTTGTGTGTCATTTTATAGTATGCCAACCCCAACCTATGTATAAGTTACATTACTTGGTCAACATCCAAGTAATAAGCTAATTCCTAATCTTATACATAATAGGAAATAATTTCTATTCCTATACTCATACAAATAGGAAATTCACTTTAGCTACTATTTCAGGTAACTAAAATCAATAAGAACACTAGTTACCTCCACGCAAAACAAAAAACCTGTTTAAAAGAAATCAAACCAATTTCATAACAAATTTCTACCTTGATGAATATTTCTTTTAGTAACAATTTGCTTTTAACTACCAAATAATATTGTACTGAACTAAACATCCGAATCAATACAATGCTGACACCCAATTAATTCAATTGACAAATAAATATGTGTAATTACTCCGAGTCTAACCTCCTCTTAACTCGTGAGAAGATGTCTCAATTCATCATCTCCCTTCGTAGGATTTCTTCTCACCACCACTTGCAATTCAGGATCCCTTTTTATGAGCTTTATCTCTAACCATTGAGGCAACCAAGTGGTAAAATTATCATACTTCTCCCATCCTCAGGACTGTCTCGCCATATGTGGTTTCCAAAACACTACATGTAGTAAAACTCATAATCATCAGAGTCTTCTAACATTTGGAAATTAGATTCTTTTATTTCTTTAGAACACATGCCACACCACCCAAAAAACATAACTGAAATCTAAAAACCATTGAGATGAAATATCAACTATTGGAATTATGAGAAAGTTTCCACCAATTCACATCCAAAATCAATATTAAACTCCACCTTTTCCTTGACCTTTGAATTACCTATCTAGATTCATACCGTCAAATATTTTCATACTTTCTGACTTTCCATCCTTCGCTTTCAATGCTTCTTGTCAAATCCTTGAAACAAAGATACCATCATTAAATTATTGAATTAGTAATAGCCACCAATCTACTTAATTTCAATAGTCAATCAGAATCTAACCACAAACCCTGTTCTGATACTAGTTGTTAAGATCCAAGTACGAAATATACGACTATTGAAATATCAAGAATATAATAATTTAATGACAAATAAGTCTCAAGAATAAAAGATAAATGCATATAAGATTTAACGTAGTTCAACTCCATCATTGAACCTACGTTCACAGAGAAAAACATATTCTTTATTATGAGAAAAAAATCTTATACAAGAATATAATTTGAAATCAAACTCAACTCTTATATATCATTTCTCATCTTCCAATAGCCCTCTCTCAATCCATATATAAGGTTATATATCGCCCTTATATGCCACTTTATAGTATGCCAACCCCCACCTATTTATAAGTTACATTACTTGGCCAATATCCAAATCCAAATAATAATAGAAAATAACTGCTAATTCCAAATCTTATACATAATAGAAAATAACTTCTATTCTTATATTCATACAAATAGGAAATCTCTTGACTATTACTTCAAGTAACTAAAACCAATAAGAAAACTAGTTATTTCCACACAAAATAAAAAACCTGTCTAAAGGAAATTAAGCTAATTTCCTAACACCTTTGAAAATTCAATCAAATTATAGTCAAGGATCCTTTATGCGTTTGGAACTCCTTGGCATCAGTGTTGCTGAAAGTAAATTGAAAGTTTCTGCGAGTCTTTACATCTGTGGGAACTCTTTGGTAACAGTTGTCTCATGCTTGACAGAAACAGTATCTGATTCTCTGCACACCAATTTTAAGCAATCAATAGCTGAATATTCACTATGAATTATCTTTGAATAACTTAGATTTTATAATCACAATGGGTTGCAACTTGCAAGCATTCAGTTCCCTAAAAAATATATTGTGATACATTTCACAGGTAAGATGGGACCGATGGAGCTTGAACCTATCAAAAACTGCAGAAGAAATGGTAAATTCGGTGTTTAAAATTTACCATGAACAAAATTTCAATTAATGTTACCACTACTGGGATTAATCATCAGCCCAAAATGGATATTCTTTTAGATATAGATGCAGAAAATGTAGGTGGTGGGATGAAACCCTGTTGGTGTGCAGAAAAATTACCTCTATTTCATATAATTTTCTACTCTTCCTTTTCTTGAATAATGTTAGATCCTCTGTCCCCAGCAAAAATGTTGGCTTTCAACTACAGTTGTTCAAATTTCAGTTTGAAAGTCTCCATTTTCTTCAAGGTGCTATGATTCTTAACTCTTAATATGTCATAGACTACAACAGTTGCGATTCTTAGTATGGCAGTTGGGACCCTGAACAAGCCCCTTCCTGCTCCAAGAAACAAAAAGGAAAAACATTATCTAAGAATTTGATAGTAATGCAGGAAACGGTAATAAATTCTTGAAAGCGTGAAGTAAATTGCAAACTGATAATATTAACTTCAGACATAGCTGTATATTTATCCTCTGACTGATTTTTCTCAGCCTAACTAGGTTATTTCTTATCACAGACACTACTTTCAGAAATTGATACTTCTTTTTTGTAGGATAATCACTTTTGCTGCTAATAGAGTCCAATTGTATATCTAGTTCAATTTAAGAGCATCCACCAGGTGCAAACCCCAGCTTCCCGCCTGCAACGTCATAAACTACTTCAAAAGTTTGCTGTTGTATGTTACCATAAATTCCCACGGTTGTGGCAGCACTATTGCCAGCAAAAGCCAAACAGATCTGTGATAAACTTGATGCAAGAAGCATCCCTTCAATACCTAAATCAACCTTTACGTTTCCACTGAAGAGGATACTGATCTTTGGTATTTTCACTGTGGATTGGCTGCTAAAATCGTAGCAAGTGTCCAGTATGGATATAGCAGGTGCAGTTTTATACTGTGACATTTGCTGTCTGAAAGCAGAGCGTAATGCAGAGTAAGCCGCTGGAGGTAACCGTGTTATAACTGTTCCAGAATCAACAATATTCCCGGCTGTCTGGAACACTGATGCACTAATAGACAACAGCTGTCCTCCAACGCTTATGCTTTGAATGTCAAGGAAGTAAAACGCGTTCGATTGAGAGCTTGAACTCGAGAAAGGAGCGAATTTCACGGTATTTGGAACCGACCCTTTTCCAAAAGTTAAGTGTCCATTTGATCCTGACTTTGTAGGAAGACAGTAAGAGAAGTATTTGCCATACTTTTGAGCAGTCTGGGAAACTATGGATAACGGATCACGGCCAAGGCCGAGCAAGCCAGAAGTTTTTCCAAATAATCCTTGGTTGTTCTGCCCACAACCAAAGAAAAATTCATCAAAAACATCTGTAGGTGTCAATGTTAGCCTCTCTTTAGCGAAAAAGCCCACAGAAAAAGACTGATCGCCATACTGTATACCGTAGAGACAGTTAGATGCTGAGCAACCCGGGCTGTTTCCAGTTGCTGAGGAAAGTGCAGAACATTGGGGAGCATTGCAAGAAATGTTGGAATATGATGAAGATTTTACAGGATCATAAATGGGATCTTGCTGTTTGTAGCAAACTCTCACGCATGGTTCGCATTGAGTCCATGTAAGATCGCTTCCAGTATCGAAAACAAGCGTATATGATTTAGCTGGGGTGCCAAGACCAACTGAGACAACATAGTTGCCTGTGCCAATTGCGCTTCCACGCTTAGCAGGTAGGTCAGCTTTTGAACCACGAATTTTGTCCGTGTCGGCTCCAAAAGCGTGGCGGGCTTGAATGGACTTGACACGAGTTTGATCTTCTGAAAGGATTTGAGTGAGGGTTTGTCTGTTGGATGATTCTTGATTGAGTTGATGGCATGGACCATGTCTGTGAACTACCTTCAATGATGACTTTCTACTGGGACCTGATGATAATGATGGCTTAGTTAATGATAAATTTGATGTTATGGCAACTTTACAAAGCAATTATATGGGAAAAGACAGTTTTTAGTATAGAATATGTCTTATTATGAATTTGAGATGTCGGCATATGTAAATTGGTGGATGAATATCACCATTAGACTACATGATGATAGAAACTTCGTCAAGCAAAAGAGTGTGATTCATTAGTTTTAACGTCCAAGGTATTTCCTTCATTAGACTCATAATTATGGAGGTTCTAATCATGATTAACAAATGAACGTCAAGAAGGGTTTTTGGTGATCAGTAAACAGTCAAACTAGACAGAAAACTTTATTATGTCTAATGCTTGACCTTCCACATTTTGCACTACATCTTGACTTGGGGACCCTCAATGAAACTTAATGGCTAAAAGAGGTACTATCGATGAAGTTGGAGGTCTAAAACCAAAAAAATTATGCATAACTTGTTCTACTATTAATACAGCCTAAACCATTTACGTGAAAAATTAAACCAGTGCATTAAATGTGACAAATCCAAACTCGAGCATTAGTTTACAACATGAGAAGCTTTTGAAAATTTTTTGCACAATCCCTATCTAATAGCAAGGAAGTTTGATCTTGGGATTGAGGATACATATTAATGCTTGATCCTAAAGCTAAAGACCTCATATGAAAGATGATGTAGATAAGTAGAATATATAATGGGTGTTACTCTACTTGATTTCCAATTTCAACTTGCAGTGGCAAAGAATAGCTTGAAATTTTCAGATTATTTCTTGATTCATTAAGAGAAGTGGGCACTCTGATAATTGTATTGTCTCCTTCAATTAGAGAGACCTTTTTGTTTGCCCAAAATAGCTGTAGACAAGTAGGTACTCTGGAAATTTTCAGGTTACTTCTTTCTTTCAACTACAAGGGCAATGGAGCCCATGATGAACCTAAAAAGAAACAAACAACATTTCTTTTCTCATGAGGGTTCTTTATGTCCACAAGAATCTTTCATCAAACTTAAATTATGGAGGTTTTGATCATGATCAACAAATGAACATCAAGAAGGGTTATTCATAAATAGTAATAGTCAAGCTATAGTCATGAACATTTATTATGTTTAATATTGGAAATTAGGCACTCTGCCATTTTCAGCCAAAGTTTCATCAATATTGATTTGTGGCCACACCTTGAGAACCCTTTGATGAAACTCAACAAATGGAAAATGTTCTAATGTCTAAACCAACATAAAATTGAGCTAGAGGAGTAAAATATCCAATTAGCAAGAAGAAAATTTTGCATAAATCACTATCTAATTAGCAAGGAGATATGAACTATGAAAAGATGTTGAGGATACAATTGATGATTAATCCTAAAACAGTGGACATTAATCGACTTACAGTGACATTTATTTAGCCGGCACAGCTGTGATACACTCCGTGACTTGATATTTCAACAAAAGGGGCGATGAAACCCATGATGATGCTAAAGAGAGAGAAACAATAATGTCCACCACACTCTTTCCTAGCTTTTTGGCCCAAAAAGACGTTTTTCCTTATTAGCTGTTTTTTTGTTTTTTTGGGTGGTTGGTTTCTTTATCAGTTGTCTTCTAATGGCTGCTGAAGTGATAGCATTTAGCGAGGGAATAATACTGATGAGGTCTATCGTAATAAGGACAGCTCCATCTCAATTATAAAGGATTTTCTTTTTTTTTCTAATAAATGTATACCAGTACTAATCAATAATGCCATTTTCCTTTGCCAAGATGCTAGTTGCTTTAAGCATTTTACCCTTACCATACATAATCTTCCCTGCGCATAGCGCGAATAAGAGTCTTTTGGAATTGGAAACGAGCCATTGATTATATTCAAAAACTAGCGTAATTTCAAGAACATAAAGACATCTCCTTGTGATAAATAGCCTCTAAATTGTTTATTTAACATTAATTATCCAAAATTTTTCTATTTCTGGGAAGGTTCTTTTGACAAAATTTAACATATTACCTGTTCCAATGAAAGAAATAATTGGAAAGAAAGTTCTTCTTTGATTATGGATGGGCACCTTTGCTTGGGTGATTGGATTATTGGTAGAATCTCATTTAATATTTGCCATTAGGCTGCAGGATTAGCTGTTCTTCACCCCTCCCCACCCCCCACCCCAAATTGCAACCTTTACCAGAAAGCAATATTAAATCCTAAGTGGGA